GCTTTAGCGGCTGGAAGCCTATTAATAGGCTTTTCAGTGCCAACGATTAACACTGGAACTACATTCCTAAATTTTTCTTTCACAATTGAGTCGTTCAGAAACCAGTGCGGTTAAGTCCAGAAAACAAAAATTGAGAAAATTAATGTAACGGCTCCTGAAATTATTGTATAACATATTCAGAAGCTATAAAAAGAAGGGCTTTCTAACGTAGAAAAAATGAGTGAAACCCTAGAAAGGAAATTATTTATTCCGTTCAAATTTATGAAAATCAGAAAATATCAAAAAATCGACCTAACCCAGCTTCTGAGCGACTAAATTGTTGGAAGTGTAGTTGATGCTTCTTTGGGAAATTACTGGAGAAATTGGTTTCTATAAGGAAACGTTAAAAATTCTGAATGCTCGGTAGTTTTAATGTTAAGCCGATCATTAGTGAGCGGCAGTCTTGATCGGTAAAGTGTTAACAGCCTGTCTCTCCGTGATCCATCATTTGACCTTAACTTCATACACGAAATGTTAATGCAACAATTACCCGAGCGCAAAGGTTAACACCATTGTGCGCGCTGGATATCGTTGCGAGGTTTACGGTTCTTTTATTACCGAATCTATCGCGGATATCATGCGGCGGTACATAGTTATCTAAAGATTCGCGTGTTAAAGTGTTTCGTAAAGTTTACAGCAGTTACTCATCTTGCTAGGAACACGATGGATCTTTGAAGAATAAAAGTGTGTGATACATGCGAGAAATAACCGGAATTCATTTACTATGCAACGATGAATTATATTATTGCTGCTTTACACGAGGTCTTATAGAAAATGTTCTCCTCTCGTGGCTGTAGACTTCAGCCAATGATCATAAAGCTTTAGACGATGACTTTTAGGTACTGCAACCACTGGTGAAGGGACATGGTGTTTGTTGTAAGACCTTTGAACGATGACCATGTAGATGGAAATCGATATGAACCCCTTGAAGACATAAACGAAACACCGTTGAAAATATCAGGAACATGTGGCTACGCAATAGAATTATCTCGAAGGGAACAGTGTAATTATAATATTCATTTACTGCTAATTTCCGATGAGTTATCGTATTAAACTTTTGTATAATAATAATGTTCCTTCATTGAAGGAAATGCGTACTTAACTTCTGATTTCCAAAAATGATTGAGTATCAGTCAGCGGGTGAATTCTGAACGAAATTCAAAAATCATTCGTCTTTATTGGCCCCAATTTTCGTGGAATTGAATTGTAAAAGAAAACAAATGTTTCGTGCATTAAACTCTCAGCTCTCGCGGTGAGTTGAAAAATACCTCGAAAAATTAGTGCATGACGGGTATCCTGCTTTAATACTATACAGACCCACCCGGACAGTAAAACTGACCGATTTCATACTCCTTCTTTCAAAGTTACCAAGATTATGAAGACGATGAAATAAACGAATGTATTCGCGTGGACATTACAATAAAAGCCGTGCGAACTCTCAAAGAAACTCTTCCACGGTTGTCACAATGAATTCCAAACTGATCGCTCCGATCGCTATGTACTCCCAACATTAAAACTCGTTCAATCATATTCAGATTCTTGCAACATTACAAATGACGTAGATCGTTCTACTCAAGAGAATCCCTCAAAACATCCTCCCCAAGAAACACTTACGCAACCATTACAATTGAACCGCAATAAGTGTTCAAGGTTGGAAATTCACTTTCGAACAGAAATTCCCCGAGAACCGATGTTACCGGAAACGATCGTGTTCGATCGAAGTCTACAAAAGTTATCGGTGATTCAAGAGAGTCGCGCGAACAGCCCGACCATCGGATCCTCGAACTAGCCTCCTCTCTTCCGGTCCTCTAGCGCGCAGTTCCCGATCGACTCACCCGTCTCGAGAAATCCATGGCGTGTTCCTTTTTCCACCTGTTATTTCCTCTCACGTCATTTAGCGAGGCAGCGAACGATTCCGTGGCCGATATGCGCGAAGGGGCAGACGAAGGCGTTCGGCACGAAGCAACGCCGTCTAACTGTACGCGAACACAACTGATACGACGCGTTCCTGACTAAAAAGAAACCGTACCGGTGCGGACTCGTCCGGAAGTGGGCCCGGAACCCCGGGCCGGCCACCCGTGACCAACGGGTACCTCCTGAATACACGCAGCGAGCCATGCGGGCATCGGTTCTATGGCGTGTACAACGCATCTCGCTCGAGCGCACCTGTTCCTCTACCTTTCCAACATAATCCCGTCGCGTTGTGAAGCTTCTCTATCCAATCCATGCTCGTTTTTTTCTTCTTCTTCTTCTTCTTCCTTTTCCCCTTGTTCCTTTGATTCTTCTGCTCTCCCTCTTCCAGGTCCCTGTCGGTTGTCTTCACTCGAATAACGGATGCCGATGTAGCGATCAAGATTACGGTCCCCAGGCATCGCGGGGAAGATTAAGTGCGTTGCCTCCGCGGGACACGCTTGTTACGCTTTCCGCGTGTAATATGCGCGCGAGGTATTTGGCGATACGAGCCCCGTAAAGTAACGCGTCGACCGATGGGAAAAACGCCCGTCGGTTTTTACATCTCCCAGCGAACACCCGCGACCGATGCAGCCGACTCAAACGACCGTCCCAGTTTTCTTTTATTTATTTATCGAAGTAGGACGTAGGTACTTATGCGAAGAGGTTGCACAGAAACACGGCAAGGCTCTCCGGGCGTTCTAATTAAATCGTGGATTTTTACGGACTGACCTATCGCACAGTGTCTCGAGTGTATGGGATTTCGGAAAGAAAGTCATAATTTCTAAACTAATGGAGTTTTGACGTAAATACTCTAATACTTCTTTTTGTAAAGAATACAAAGCTGCATCGATTACAATAAAGAAATATACATTTTCATTCTAAAAAATTGTGATAATCTTGCTTTTCTATTAAATAAACAATTTTTTATCTGTTTGTGTTACTGTAGCTTATCGTTGACTACCTACCGACTAACTTTTGTTTCACAATTTTTTTAATAGTTTAACGAATACACCTGAAAAATAGTCGTCAATATTTTAAAAATCGAAACCCAAATTCAAAATTTTTTTCCTACTGATTAGCGAACAAATGTTTATCAAAATTATCGAAAATTACAATGAATTTTCAACATCATTTTATATAACAAATTGATGAAATCTGTGAAAGTTCAGTTTACTGATTTTTCTCCATTAAACGAAACACTGTGGATCGGTGAAAAGATCCCTCTCTTCTTCGTCCAGTCGATCAGCTGGATCGACCCATCGGTGAGAAAATCCCTTTCTTCTTCGTCCAGTCGATCAGCTGGATCGACAGACACGTCGGTGAAAAAACCTTCGGTAGAAGTAGAATAAATATTTGATTAAATTTCTAAGAAATCATTTTCTTGTTGTTGTAATGGGTTTACTGAAATAAAATCACTATTATGATGTTGATCTTTTGTGTCGTACACGAAACCAGCACTGCGAATTACGATAGATAACCAGCAACTGAGAGTTATCGTTCCAACTAGTATATACGAGATGTGTTTGCAGTTATGTTCTTTTGATTTTATCTCCGCTTCTCGTGATAAGAGGGTTTTTTTGTATTAATATTTTGTTTGCACAATTTTATAGCGGAAGCGCGTGTCGTATCACGTTCATGCGACATACACATTATCCGCACGCATGGAGCGTCCTATCGGTGCAAGAAAAATTAATAAAACGGTCGTGAATACATATATTCATGCAGAGACCTGTTTGCTAGCCATAAACGAACGTAAAATGACGGAAGTGTTTGAAAGTCTGTAATATTTAACACATACAGCGTTATGTTATAGGAATGATACGACCAGTAATATCCAGTAATGTAAATCTACTTACACACTAATAATTCGAATAACATTTATTTTCCATACGAATTGAATAATAAATTGGAGTAAATGATTCAGCGCCACAGCATGCACAAATGGAGATGCGTGAACCGTTCTACGAAAGCTGTTTGTTATTCGAGCGTTGCTCGATGTTGTTATTTTTCTTAACGCGACGACGAACGGTAACCGGTGTTAGTCAGCTGACATTGACAGATACAAGAAATTTTTTTCTTCTTTTTTATGATAATTTTACATAGTCCAAGAAGAAACCGATGGACTGGAGAAACGATGAATCCGACCATTCGAGCGGTTTGTGGCTGTTTGTCATGTACTACTAATCGTAATCGTTTCAATTGACACTTAAATCGCACGTTTTGTTCCGCGAACAGTTGAAAATTTTACTTGGGATGAAAAAAATGTGACGAGGATCAAAAGCGATACGAGCTTATCCGGCACTGGAGGATATAATATGTGTTCTCAAGGCGTACAGGTTTCAATGATTTCTAATCCATGCTCAGTTTTCTTTTTGTACGAGAATATATATGAATTTGAAATGTCTCCGCGTGTATATCGGATTGCTTGGAAAACAGGCGAATTTTGATGTTTGCAAAGAGTGTCTGGAACGTTTGGGACTGGAAACCCCAATCGAAGTTAGTAATCCGTTCCGTCCAACGAGCAAAATAACTCAGACCGAACCATCCGACGACATCGATCAAGAATTATACAGCGTAAATGCCACAGATTTATTTCCATGCCGACAAACTTTCCTTCATCAGCCTGATATTTTGTATTTCCAAGTAAGATTTTCGAATATTCTGATACATGCGTTACACCAAGTGGTCAACCAATTTTAATTTTCAGGGAGTGAAATATCCACCGGAGGATATTGCTCGTCATTGGAAAAAAGACTCACGAACGTGGCTTTGGAAGTCTGTCAGGCGAAGACGAAACAAATCGGTGTCTACTAATGAAACATGCGAGACAAACACTGAAAACATAGAAAATGAGTAATTTGAATGCCGATTTAAAATTTCGCGCTGCAAAGTTATTTTATCCTTTGCATTTGTTTCTTGTATTCCTTTAAATCCATACTGCTTTTCTAAATATGTGCTTTATATTAGACTATACAGTCTATTGTTTACATATATTATATTTCTTTTTATCAATTTTCCAAGTTATTAATGGAAATTACATTTAACAACTAATTACAACAGTTCTATTATTTCATCTGTAACAAAAATAAATAAAAGATTGAAATGCTTGTAAATTTGTTTATGTATCTTGTCAAGATAGTAATATACTTTCTCAGAGTGTGAACAGAATTAATACAGTAGTGAAATTTGTATTCAACCGCAAGTTTCTATAGAATCCAATTGTTGTTTTGGCGTTTCTGTTTCAACTACTTCACCCATTTCGAAACGTGCGAAATCTACAATTTCCGTGTTTTTACTTTGCAGTAGTTGTTGCACGGATACAGAAGAATCGAATAAAAATTCTTGGTATAGCATACAAGATTCTTCATCTATATCAACATGTGGTTCATCAACATTTGGATCTCCAATTTTTATTGGGTTCATACCTGAAGTCAAGAAATATATTATTGCTAGAATTGTATATAGTCTTTCATAGTAACTATAATTACCAATAATGTGCTGGCAGAGTTGTAATCCTAGAGTTGAACATTCTTCGTCAGATTTTATGGCCACCAGAGCACCATATCGTCCAAAAGATGATGGTACTGGATTTATAGGTGTGGGATGAGTACATCCATACAGGTGTAGACCTGATCCGACACTCATGCATAAGGCACGTCTTATATTAATGTTTTCTCCAACACTTCCAATGGTTAAAGCAGAATGATCACCTAAACTTTTGCCATCGTCAGCTGGCAAAGCACTGATACAATTTGTGAATAACACTGTTTTATTGACAGGTGCATCTGATTTAAATGTCATTCCATGCTTTAGTACGCTAGACAATATAGTTTCAGCTAGATCAAGAAATTTTTTGTTCCTTGCAACAAAGTCTGTCTCGCAATTTATCTCTACAAGAGCTCCATGATTGTTGTTAGTCACTACTGCTATTAAGCCTTGAGATGTTATTCTTGATTGTAATTTAACTGCTTGGCTCCAACCTTGAATTTGAGCCTGTTCTTTAAGCCATTCTTCTGCCTATAACATTCAAGAAAAATTAAAAATTTGTTTCTATAAATGATCATATACATCAGCATTAGATAAATTTATATTCCTTACTTTTTCCAGATCATTATTATGTAGTTCTAATGCTTTCTTGCAATTCACCAGCGTGTACCCAGTTTTCTTACGCAATTTTGATAGTAATGTTTTCTTTGAAGTATAGAGTAAATAATTTGCATGTATGGAACGATACAGCTGACGTGGAATCATCTACAATGTTTCATTGATGTTATCAGTTTATGTTCAAATAAATATATAAATATTATTCAACAGATTGCTACAGTATCTGCATAGGACCTAACCTAAAAATGTCTGTATATCAATTTGAACAGTATGTTAATTAAACTCGACAATATTATAATGACTGTTTTTACTTTAAAAAAGTATTTCATTACAAAATTCTACAAGTTTTCCAGAAATCGATTAATTTCGTTGCCTAGAAACTGCAGTCAATTGTAGTCGTTAGTGTCAATCTATTCGAAGGCAAACGTTTAGAAGTAAGATTCTTTGGTATCCGTTTTGCAAAGATACTACACAATAATTTATCACATAGAACTTTGAATATTTTCAAATAACAATTCTATAGTTTAATACTTACTATAATCGTGATTTGAAAAGCGAATCTGTAACAAACGATGAACTGAGATCAATTCCGAAAGTGGCGCCTTCTGTTGTGGTGTAAATTCAATTGCAAAATAGTTCGGAAAATGGATAGTGTAGGTTTCAAAATTACAGAATCCCGATTTGTAATCGATTGTCGATTAATAAAGTTTTAATCTAACTTTGATCTTACAGCATTTCGTATATATTGTTTGCATGTTTCATTTCAGATATAAAATAAATTTCCATTTTTTTCGGGAACCTACTGTATTGCGTAGATTCAGCATGGAATGCGACTGCAAGGAAGTCACATCGTGCGAAGGCCTTTCACGGCGGGAGATTCAAAAGAAGTCCGCCAAGGGTACTCCAAAACTAAAAAAATTAGCTGATTCGAAAGTTGAATCGGTATTTTCCTTACCGCCAGAATTCTTAACGAATTGTGTTAGGTGTAAGAAAAAGGACGAGGAGCGAAAACGATGGAAATTACAGGAGACGTGCACCGGTAAACGATTGAAAATGGAAAACTTCCGCAGGTCGGTTGGGCGATTTCAATTCGAATAAATTCTACATAAATTGTGTACAATTCCATTTATAGATTCATGGTGGGCCTCGTCGTGAAGCCTGAATTACCAAAGTCGGAAATAGATTTGCGTTTGGACCCACAGATAAATCGTTATTACAATTACATTTCCAATGGGGTCGACACCTTCTATATGGCCCAAATTCACGAGGATGTTCTGGAGAAGATATTAGATTTAGTTCCGTGCAATTTGCGGGATCGATTCAACTATTGCACGGAGGATCTGTTGAAGGAGATCAAAGACACATTCACGACGAATATCAAGAAAGCGATATTGGAGTTCGCACTGCTGAACCCTTTACAGGAATATTTACACGAGGTGGATTCGCGATAAATATGTACACTTTTGTGTAAAATACTTTTCTTCCTTAAACTGTACTTGAAGGCCAAAAGATATTTATCTCGATATATAGAATAGATAAATTAATAATAATAATACTTAACAATTCCCTTGAAGCAACTTTTGTAGCTTGTATCAATGTAAAAGTGGTCTTTCAATATCAATTTTAATAGGAGGAAGGAAGTCACCTGTTATCCAAATTAATGGGTCAGGTTCGTGAACGAATTGCTATTTTGCAAAACACTCTGTACCTCATAAATCCGTGTATGAAGATGACTTTAGATCAGTGGATATACAAATTTCGGTACGAAACTGTTGATTTCCTGCGTAGCATCACTCATCGATAGATGAATTATTTTTCAGAAGTTTTCGACTTGTCGATATCGGAAAACTCCTAGAACAGACGGAGAGTTGGAACCTGTTGGAATTCGAAGCTACGCTTTCCCGTCAAATTGAAAAGGGTAGGATTATTTTGAGGAACTCTTGGTACAGTGGCATTCAGGATATATTCCTCGTGGTAAAACATGTTTCAAAGTTATTTGAATGAACTATCTGGTTATCTGCTTTTTATTTTCATCGAAAAAAATGATAAAAGACGAAACGGTGATGATCTTACAATGTTTTCATAGAACAATAGGAAGAATTTAGTTCCAAGTCCTGTGCAACGGTCGCAGTTCAAAAGGTTTTTCGGCCTTGCTGCTAAGATAATGGAGAGTCAGCTCCTCTCTCTCAGTAAAAACAGTCTGAAAGACTTCGTGGACTTGATCGTGCGGAGTCAGGTAAATCGTTTCACAAGTGTCCTATAAAAATCTTTTAAAAGGAAGTTAATTAATGATCGTCATCTCTTACAGCCTGCGAAATGTAAATTCCACGTGGACATAATAGTCAGCCACGAGACTCTTGGTTTTCATCCATCCTTCGAGGAATTTAAAATCGTGCTTTGCGGCATTTTGGATCGTATATGTAAAGCTGTTACGGAATTTAACACATTGGAGATGCAGTTGTATCTGGATTGGTCCGGCCCCCTTGAAGTTTTAAAAGTGAACGGACAATAATTTTAATTGCAGTATATTATTTGCGTGAATTTGTAAATGAGATATAAAAGATCGCAAAATTATTCCGATACAGCCGAAGATAGAGCATTCCATAGTGGAGGCGCAAAAGCGGGAGATCGTCGATCTAATCGATCGAGAAAAAGTCATTCCGGAGATGATGCTGGACGAGCTCAAAGTGTAATTACCGATAGTTGCTCCCGCTCGTTCAGCTTTTGACGATTGTCAAAAGTCATGTTTGTTATTCACAGATACGAACATTTCTACAATAATGACGAGTACCACGTGATGAAGAGCTTCGCGAGTGACGAGAGCAAAACGCTGGAGGAATACGAGGGGATGATGAAGCGTTATCGCTCGCTTATGGCGAGTATTCCGGTGGAAATTGAGAGGGCAGCGTTCACCGGTCTCTTCAAAGTATCCCGAAAAATTTTTATCGAGACGATCGTTAACAACATCGATCAGATACAGAATCTTCTTATCGATACTCTTGTCAACAAGTACCAGCTCGTAGCAGTCAGGTCAGTGTTTTAGTTTTTTTTACATTGATCTTTAAAGTAAAAATACATCGGTGTAAAATACTTGTTTCTTGTTTAACGTTCAAAATGTGGTTGTATTTATATCATATTTATATCATGGTTTGTCCTGTGTCAAGTATTTAATTATGGGTATACTGATTCCCAAAAAATCATAGCATCTGTTAGTCAAAAAGAAGGATAATCGAGTAATCATTGTTGGTATAGAATCGCAGGAGACTATGAAGCCATAGGAGAACAGGCTTTGAGCACTCCTATCGACACGGCTGCGCTGATGGAACTCATAGCTTTTGTCCGGAAGTCCATAGACGGTTCTTTGAAGCACCTGGAGACTGATCTCTACAAAATAATTCAGTACATTCTCCTTTTGTCTGACTATCACGTTCTTACGGATGCTGAGATAAACGCTAACAACACCGCGTTCCAGTGGTATCACAGAATGCCCGATGTGCTCGCGGAAAACGAAGTTATCGTTGCGACTAAGACAGTGGAGTTCCAAGAGGCTTTACGAGGTACCATTACCAAAAAACATATATTCGTACCGTCTGCTTCACTTAAATGGAAACACTAAAATATCTGTGTTATTTATGGTTCCACGAAAAGTCTTTAAGATCTCCGATCTTGGATGTTTGCAATCCTAGAAGAGATATTTAGGTGTTTTGTTTCTCATGACTTGTATAGCAAATACGAAAGAGAGAGAGAAGTTGCATGGATCGATGTCACTTTTTTCCTTTAACAGTCAGGTACATCAAGTTCGAGGAAGAGTTGTACTCCTACGCCAAACAAGTGGACGAGATTGAAAATTGGGGGGACATAACGGAGGTCTACAAGTATCAAAAGAGGGCTCAAACCTTGGAGAACAGACTGATAGCCGGCATGGAAAAGATCGACAAGTTCAACGAGGAGGAAGCTGCGTTCGGTTGGGAAATCACGCAATATCCACGTCGGAAGCAGATCGCGGATCAGCTGAAGCCGTTCAAGCAACTGTTCGACGCGATCTGCGACTTCATGACTAAACACGATCTGTGGCTGAACTCGATGATCGGCAGCTACAGCCCCGAAGAGATCGACAACGATGTTGGATACGCTTACAGGTTGATACCTTCAGGCACATTATTGTCTACAAGTATCTTGACACTTGAAGGAGTCTACTCAAGTAGTTTGATCACAAGCGTTCTAATAAATATTTGTGCATGATAATGTAGCAGTAAATAACTTTTCGAAAACAGTTTTATACATAACGATGATTGACTTTATTGAAACGTTCAGAACGATTTACAAATTGGAGAAGACCTTTCAAGAACCAGACCTGAGGAACCTAGCGATCAGTGTCCGTGAGAAGATCGAAGATTTCCGGGATCGTATGCCGATCATTTTCACGTTGGGCAATCCGGGATTGAAAGGCCGCCATTGGGAGCAAATATCGGAAATCATCGGTGTTCCCATCAAGGTGGACGCTGATCTAACTTTGACGAAGGTCCTGGAAATGGGCTTGGATTCGTTGGCCAGCAAGTTCGAGGGGATTTCGGATAGCGCATCGAAAGAAGCTACTTTAGAGAAGGCTATTGACAGAATGCAGAAAGACTGGGCGGACTTAGCGTTCACGGTGAACCCTTTTAAGGACACTGGGACTTACGTCATCGCTGGGGTCGACGATATACAACTGCTTTTGGACGACCATATCGTCAAGACTGTTACCATAAAGAACTCACCGAATATAAAGCCTTTTGAGAGTAGAATTCTGTTAGTAAATTATTGTTCAAGTCATACGTAGATATAAATTAAGAATCTAATTAAATCTTTATTTTATTTCACATTCTGTATCGTTGATGTCTTATAAGAGTACGAAATCTGCGGTCTAATTAAGAAAATGGTATGATCCTGTTTTCTTACTGATGGAATAGGGTATGGGAACACAAGCTGCATCTGTTACAAGATATCCTGGACCAGTGGCTTCGAGTCCAGGCGATTTGGATGTACTTGGAGCCGATATTCACGTCGCCGGATATCCAACAACAAATGCCGGAAGAGGGACGGAAGTTCTCTGCCGTGGACAAGACCTGGCGCGACATCATGAAGACCGTTCACTCGGATCCTCTAGTTCTCGTTGTCGTCGAGATCGATAAGATGCTGGAAAGGCTGAAGAAGAGTTTCGGCTTATTGGAGGATATTCAGAAAGGACTGAACGATTACCTCGAAAAGAAACGACTCTTCTTCCCGCGATTCTTTTTCCTATCAAACGACGAGCTCCTGGAAATTCTATCGGAGACTAAGGATCCGACACGGTAACACCATAAAAGCTACAACGGAATTTCATTCGTCCATTAGTGTTAGATGCTATGGTTCAGATGATAAGAATGTTTACGTAAGAAGTGTTTCGGTAATTCTAGGTGTTCATAGTTAAGCGAGCTGCATCATTAGAGGCAGTTTTGGATTTTAGAAGTAGCCTTTGATCCCAGTAGTTATTAGATATTAAAAATATGCTGTTCAGTTTGTTCTGAATATTCCAATGTTCTTTATTGGAGGGCACTGATTTCAAGGTTAATATCGAAGAATGATTTATACTTTCGTAAGGATGTTATCTCTCGAAAGAAGTGTTTCAAAAGCGGTGCTTAGAACTGAACTGTTCCATCAATGTTCGAGTTTGTCTGAACGACATTTTTCACAGCACGGGTGTTATAAAAATAACAAAATGAAGACCGACGATTGTTTGTCTGCAGCGTTCAGCCGCATTTGAAGAAGTGCTTCGAGGGCATACACAGGCTGAAATTCAACGAGGACCAGGAGGTGCTCGCGATGAAATCGTCGGAGGACGAGGTAGTGGACCTGGTGGATATAATATCTACTTCTGCTGCCAGAGGACAAGTAGAGAAGTGGCTCATCGAATTGGAAACAATAATGAGGCGAAGCATTCGGCATGTGGTGCAGCAGGCGATACGGGCGTATCCCCGAAAACCGAGGAAGGACTGGGTACTCGAGTGGCCCGGCCAAACGATTCTTTGCGTTGGAAAAATGTATTGGACTCTACGTATCGAGGAGTTCATGTTGCAGGGTTCTGCGGGCATGAACAAGTATTTCCAGCAATGCCAGACGGAATTGAATGAGGTGATATCGCTGATCCGGGGCAAACTGTCGAAACAGAATCGTATTACCCTAGGTGATCATCGAGTCTTTCATTATGAATCATGGAAATGAAATGATTATAGAAAAAGTACAATTATATTTATATATTAACTGAATCATTCAAACTCTTCAGAGGCATTGGTCACTCTCGATGTTCACGGGAAAGACGTACTCGCTGATCTTTGTAAAGAAGACGTGATCAAGAACACCGACTTCAGATGGCTTTGTCACCTCCGTTATTACTGGCTGGTTCGAACAATTTCATAGAAGAAGTCTACTTATTCATGAGAAATATTTTTAACACTTACCTATTATCTGCTTTAACACTTTACCAACCGAATGGAAAAATCTTCCCATTTTTTACGTTAAGCTATGGCGCGCGCAGTTGACAAAGTGTTAATACATTCGGGACCACTTCGTTATTGCACAGTTGTCATTTGCAGGATGATAACATGTGGTCTTACATGATAAACTCGAAGCTAAGGTACGGATACGAGTACCTCGGTAATTCCTCCAGACTGGTGATCACACCCCTCACGGATCGATGTTACCGAACCCTATTCGGCGCTTTGAGCCTTCACCTGGGCGGCGCACCGGAAGGACCAGCCGGTACCGGCAAAACCGAGACGACGAAGGATCTAGCGAAAGCTGTTGCGAAACAGTGCGTCGTCTTCAACTGTTCCGAGGGGCTGGACTACCTCGCCCTCGGGAAGTTCTTCAAAGGCTTGGCTTCATGCGGCGCGTGGTCGTGTTTTGACGAGTTCAATCGGATCGATCTCGAGGTGTTGTCGGTGGTTGCCCAGCAAATTCTGACGATCCAACGGGCAATCAACAGCGGCGCGGAGAGAATGGTGTTCGAGGGAACGGATATCTTCCTGGACCCGACCTGCGCCATCTTCATCACGATGAACCCCGGCTACGCGGGCAGATCCGAGCTACCGGACAACCTGAAGGCACTGTTCCGCCCGGTCGCCATGATGGTACCGGATTACGCGTTGATCGCCGAGAACACTTTGTACTCTTACGGCTTCTACAACGGCAGGCCTCTAGCAGTGAAGATCGTTACCGCATACAAGCTGTGTTCCGAGCAACTCAGCAGTCAGAGTCATTACGACTACGGAATGAGGGCGGTGAAATCGGTCCTGGTTGCTGCGGGTAACCTGAAGCTTAGATATCCGGAACAGTCCGAGGACATTCTGATGCTGAGAAGCATCCTGGATGTGAACCTCCCGAAGTTTCTCGTCCACGACTTACCCCTTTTCGAGGGCATCGCCTCGGACCTGTTCCCAGGCGTCATTTTGCCAACTCCCGACTACAGTCATCTGAACGCGTGCACGATGGACGCATGCGCCGAGGCTAACATCCAATGCACGGACGTTTTCCTCGAGAAAATCCAACAGATATACGAGATGATGATCGTTAGGCATGGGTTTATGATCGTCGGTCTGCCGTTCGGAGGGAAAACGTCCGCGTACAGGATGCTGGCCAACTGCCTCGGCAAGCTCGAGGAACGGAAATTGATGGACGAACACCAGGTGGAGATAACGGTCATTAACCCGAAGGCAATCACCATGGGACAACTGTACGGCCAGTTCGATCCGGCGTCCCACGAATGGAGCGACGGCATCCTGGCTGTTAGCTACAGGGCGTTCGCGTCCTCCACCAACGAGAACAGAAAATGGTTGGTATTCGACGGCCCCGTCGACGCGATTTGGATCGAGAACATGAACACCGTGCTGGACGATAACAAGAAGCTCTGTCTGACTTCTGGTGAAATTATTCAACTCTCTCCCACCACGAATTTGATTTTCGAGCCTATGGATTTGGAGGTATGACGCTTGAAGAAGTCTTCTGGTCTAAAGAGTCAAATTGATTATTTTTCTTCAATTCGAAATGCGCTTTTCGCAGAATTGTCATTTTTATGGGCGAAAGAGGAATTATTATTAGAAGCTAGATTCGAAGTGAACACTTTGGTAATTCTTAGATCAGTTGTTTAAACTTCTAAACGCAAAAGATAAAAATTCTGATATTTCTAAGTAAATCTCCTTTATTAGTGAATTGAACTACTAAATAGCAATTTGTTGAGATTATTGACATAATATCAGGTCGCCTCGCCCGCTACGGTATCCAGATGCGGTATGATCTACATGGAACCGGTCAGCCTAGGCTGGCGACCGCTCTTGATTTCCTGGTTGAACACGCTGCCAGCCACGTTCACGGAACATCTGAAGAATCACTTGTATGATATGTACATGAGATTCTGCCCGCCCCTTCTGCATCTTTTGCGGAGGGGCGGAGTCAAAGTATGAAAAGCAACTTCTCTATCAGGTCAAGATAAACCGTCACTCTGGATTCTCAATACTCTTCTCGTAGGAGTTGATTACAATGCCCGATGCTAATCTGCTGAGATCGGTGATGTATCTGTTCGACTGTTTCCTCGACGATTACTACAACGAGAAGTATCTTCAAGCTTTGTCCGATTTAGATATGCGAGCCCAAGTAGAGGTAAGCGTTTCTTTCCAGGTCCATCAGCTCAAGAATCGCTGAATGCCCTTTTTATCGCAGGGCTGTTTCTTCTTCTCTTGCATCTGGGCGATGGGCGGCACGCTCAGCGTGGATTCCCGTGAATGGTTCAGCGACCTCTTCAGAGCTCTGATGGGCAGGGAATTCCCTGAAGAGGTCAGAGAACGTTTCGATATCTCCGAGCATATTAAAGATCCGCCGAAGCCTTACGTGGTGATCATTCCTTTGACTGGCCTGGTCTTCGATTACAAATACGTCAAAGAGGACAGAGGGAAGTGGAGGCCTTGGCTGGAAGACCTGCAAGACTTGCCGCCGATTCCCAAAGACATGCCGGTGAACCAAGTGATCGTACCGACGATTGAGACCGTCCGTTATGTTCACTTGTTCAAGCTCCTCATCTGTCATCATAAGCCTCTCCTCGTGGTTGGTCCGACCGGCACAGGCAAATCCGTGTACATCATGGATTTCCTTCTCAAGAAGAACGACCCGGAGACCTATAAACCGTTGTTTGTGATATTCTCGGCGCAAACTACCGCCAATCAGGCTCAAGAGATCATCATGAGCAAACTGGACAGGAGGAAGAAGGGCCTTTATGGAGCACCACCTGGTAAACATTGGGTAGCGTTCGTGGATGATTTATCTATGCCGCAAAAAGAAGAATACGGAGCTCAACCGCCTATAGAGTTGCTAAGGCAGTGGCTGGATCACCGGACCTGGTACGATCTGAAGGAAATGTCTCCTCTTGAACTGGTGGACGTTCAGCTGGTGTGCGCTATGGGTCCTCCATCCAGCGGTCTGGACGTCACGCCGAGATTCAAAAGGCATTTCTTCGTTCTGGGCATATCGGAGTTCTCCGACGACGTTTTAACCACTATATTCAGCACTATAGTCACATGGCACCTGAACAGAAGAGAGTTCCCGCACTTCTTCCAGACTTGCGTTAGTTACATTGTCGATGGAACGTTGGAAGTTTACAAGGAAACCAGGAAGTATCTTCTGCCGACTCCGGCCAAGTGTCACTACTTGTTCAACCTGCGGGATTTCTCAAGGGTGGTCCAGGGAGTGCTGCTCTCCGTGCCTGAAACCGTTAAAGAGCCGGTAGGTTCACGACTGAACAACTACTTTACAGTTTCTTAAGAATATTTGCTGTTCAATTTTAATTCTTTAATATCGCTCTCACTGTTTTAAGGTTAGCATGAAGCGGTTATGGGTCCACGAAGTGCTTCGCGTTTACGGAGACCGACTGGTAGACGACACGGACATTAAGTGGCTCGTCGACCAGATACGAGTCACCGTGTCCACTTACCTGGATGACGACCTAGATCGTATGTTCCAAGACCTGCTGAAGGATAACCAAGAATCGGTACGTCTCCATAATTTTCAGTCGTTGAAATGTCTTCTACTGTTCATTAAAACTTGTTCTACCATAGGTGACGGACATGGAACTTCGGAATCTAATTTACTGTGATTTCCAAGATCCCCTGGCCGACAGGAAATTATATATAGAGGTTCCTAACTTGGATGATCTCACTGCGGTGGTTGAAGAGTATCTAACGGAATACAATTCAATTTCAAGGACACCGATGAATTTAGTCCTCTTCAGGTTCATCTGTCGTTTCCTTAGCCAATACTATTGATCAATGAAACAGATCTACATATTCTTTTTTAACAGGTTTGCAGTCGAGCATCTTTCGAAGATCTGCCGAGTGATGATGCAGCCCCGTAGCCACGCCCTTTTAATCGGCGTGGGTGGGTCGGGTCGTCAGTCTCTAACAAAATTAGCCGCGCACATCTCGGATTATGAGCTGTTCCAAGTAGAGATGTCCCAGCAATACAGCACGTATGAGTGGCACGAGGACTTGAAGAACATTCTGAGGAAGAGCGCCGCGAGCGATTTGCACACGGTGTTCCTGTTCATGGACACCCAGGTCCGCGAGGAGACGTTCCTCGAAGACATAAGCAACCTGCTGAACTCGGGCGAGGTGCCGAACATATTCGCCGCGGACGAGATGACCGACATCTGCGAGAAGATGAGGGTGATCGACCGGCAGCGAGACAGGTCATTACAGACTGACGGCAGCCCGATCGCGTTATTCAATTTCTTCGTGCAGACGGTGCGCGAGCATCTGCACGTGGTCGTCACGATGTCACCGATCGGCGACAATTTTCGCGTCAGAATCAGGAAGTTCCCGGCTCTGGTGAACTGTTGCACCATAGACTGGCTGCAGAAGTGGCCGGAGGATGCTCTGCTGGCTGTCGCCACCAAGTTCTTAGGCGAGATCGATCTGACGATAAAGGAACGCGACGCCTGCATCGAGATGTGCCAGTTATTCCACACGTCCACGCAGGACCTGTCTCTGGAATTTCTGCGTAAAGCGAAGCGGCACAATTACGTCACCCCGACTTCCTACCTCGAGCTCATCAAGACCTTCAAGGACTTACTCATGAGGAAGAGAAAGGACGCGCTCGAGGGGAAGAGGAGATATGAAGCGGGTCTGGAAAGGTTGGACAGCACTCACAAGCAGGTGGAAAAGATGCAAGAGATCCTAGTCGCGCTGCAGCCGAAGCTACTCGTCGCTGCTAAAGACGTCGAGGCCATGTTCCTTGATGTGCAAAGGCAGAACGACGAGGCGGTTGCCATTGAGCAAGTCGTTAAGCTGGACGAGGAGGCCGCTATGGTACGGTTTTTAGATCAAAGTTCATTTTATTTAGTTGCCTCTTGCGAGTGCTGCTCGGTGCTTTCTTTTCCTTTTCTTGAGCGTTGTTCGTTTGCGTTTCGCGGTTTGTTAACAGTAATGAGATTTGGAAGAACTTGCAACTTACCAGGGAAGGTATGCTTTTCAATTTACTTGTTTGTTATATCAAAATGCACTATGGGTAGCTTCTTTTAAATAATGAATTCCAGATAATATGACTTTTGGTTTACAATTACACACTCGTTGAAGAACTTGTTCAGAAATTCTCAGCTATTAATCAGAGATTTCTAAAGTTCTTCAAAATTGTTAAGATTCGTTCGTAAAGGTTCTTGTATCTCCAAGATCGTCGCGAGCGAGGCGGACGCGATCCGAGCGGAATGCGACGCAGATCTACAAGAAGTGATGCCGATCTTGAACGCGGCGAACACCGCGTTGAACACCTTGACCCCGCAGGATATTCAAATAGTACGGTCCATGAAGCGTCCGCCGGCCGGAGTTCGACTGGTCATGGAGGCGGTTTGCATCCTGAAGGTACACTCGATCTTACCAGCGAATTACCTCGGAAACCTCTCGAATCTTCATAAAAGTAACAAACTCCCCAGGACGTGAAACCGGACAAAGTTCAAACACCGGATGGTACGGTGGAGGACTATTGGAAAGCATCTTTGCGGATGCTGAGCGACATGAGGTTCCTCGAGAGCTTGCTGACCTTCGACAAGGACAACATACCGGAGAAGATTATATCGAAGATCCGCTCGACAATCCTGACGAATCCGAACTTCGACCCAGAGAGGATCAGGCAGGTGTCGAATGCGTGCGAGGGCCTTTGCCGTTGGGTGTTTGCATTGTCCGAGTACGATAAAGTGGCGAAGGTCGTCGCGCCGAAAAAGCAGGCGCTGGCCAAAGCCGAGTCCGACTATTCCACGGCGATGGCGCAGCTCAGCCTGAAAAGGAGCCAACTGCAGGAAGTGCGCAAAAGACTGGAGGAGCTGGAGGAGCTTCTGTCGCAGCGGAGGGCGGACTACCAGGCGATGACTGACGAAGTGACCGAGTGCGAGGAGAAACTGAGGCGGGCCAAAGAGCTGATTGGCGGCCTGGGCGGGGAGTACACCAGGTGGTCGGAAACGGCGGCAGCGCTCGGCGAGCTTTATCACAAGCTGACAGGAGACGTGCTAATCGGGTCCGGCGTGGTAGCTTACCTGGGCGTGTTCACCGCTCCGTACAGGCAGCGGCAGATCGAAAACTGGATCGGGATCTGCATCGATTTGGCCGTTTACTGCACGCCTGACTATCAGCTCGCTCAAATCCTCGGCGATCCGGTGCTGATCAGATCATGGAACATTTTCGGGCTGCCCAGCGACCTTTTCTCGATCGACAACGGGATCATCGTCGCAAACTCGCGACGCTGGCCGCTGATGATCGATCCTCAAGGACAGGCGAACAAGTGGGTGAAGAACATGGAGAAAGAGGCGAACGTCAACGTGATCAGATTATCTCAGCCTGATTACATGAGGGTCCTGGAGAACGCCGTGCAGTTCGGCCAGCCTGTTATACTGGAAAACGTCGGCGAGGAATTGGACGCTGCTCTTGAGCCGCTCCTGATGAAGCAGACGTTCAGGTCCGGTGGCACTACGTGCATCAAAATCGGTGACTCGGTTATCGAGTACTGCGACGGCTTCCGGTGATTGTTGGTCTTTACTCCCGATCGTCGAACTTTTCTATGTTTTGTCTATATCTTGTAGAATTTGCGTTTCTTAGATTCTATATCACAACTAAGTTGCGCAATCCGCATTATCTGCCGGAAGTGGCGGTGAAGGTCACTCTGATGAATTTCATGATCACACCGACCGGCCTCGAGGACCAGCTCCTTGGCATCGTCGTGGCGAAAGAGCGGCCCGACCTTGAGGCTGAGAAGAATCAGCTGATCGTACAGGGAGCCGCGAACAAAAAGTACTATACGCCTCTCACGTTATCTCCATCGACCGCCAAGCTAAAAGTGCAGAGGGGCAAGGGGACTTTTCCACTCACGATGCTCGGGCCGCCTCGGCTTTCGACGCATGGCGCGTGGCAATAATAGAGGACATTTTTAACGATTTTTAACTTGGGATATCTTTTATCGTTACTATCATTGTCATTACCGCATGCCAATAATGAACGCGCGTCAAAAGCCATCGTAAGTGTAATAGTTCTCTTGCCCCTGTGCATTTTCAGTTTGGTGGTCAATGGAGTTAACGTGAGAGTTGCACTGTATATGAATCTTTTTTCTAAGGTGAACGTGTTTCGTTGTTTCTCACGTTGCTCGGTTTTCCGGGATTTCCCCGCAGAATGTTGAAGGAGATCGAGGACAAGATTTTGGAGGTTCTCTCCACGTCCGAGGCGAACATTCTCGAGGACGAGAGGGCGATCAGCGTCTTGAGCTCCTCGAAGCAGCTCTCCGACGAGATACTCGCGAAACAAACAGCCGCGGAGATAACTGAGAAGTCCATCGACGTGGCGAGATTAGAGTACACGCCGATCGCTGTGTACAGCGCGGTCCTTTTCTTCACGATAGGTATTTCGTTCGCATAAACTGCTTCATTCGAAAGATCGGTGAAAATTCCTGAAAACGACATCATTGCCAAGTGAAGGGAATATTGTTCGACACGCTGTTTGCTTGGCCAGCAATCAATTTAATGAAACGAGATTATTGAAAAGTTAAAGTTTGTTGCAAACTCTATAATATCATAGAAATGAATTTATAATTCTAGACAACTCATCAAAAACACAGAACATGTGGAAAGTCCTAATTTCTCTTATCGATCGAGGTGTATCGCATTATTTTCTGTTTGATAGTATAAAAGTAAAAATACTTCAACATTAATCATAAGAAACAAGAAAGAATTTGTAAATCTTTTTTTAAGAAGAAGAAAGGAAACGTAAGAAATGTAATTTGTAATATAACAAATGTAGAATGGATTCTTATTTTGTTTCGTTTTTTCACATTTTTTTCGAATTTTTCCGTGTTTAACAAGTTATTTCTTCACAATCTTCAATGCTCTCCGAAAACGAAGGGAGCCTGCGGCTCGGGTACTTATATATTTATGCGTTGAAGGGAATATTCATGTCCCATAGCGGTCCTGGCGAACATCGATCCCATGTATCAGTACTCGTTAACCTGGTTCGTGAATCTCTTTAAAAACACAATCGACAACACGGAGCCGGTGGAGGACATAAAGCAACGGCTCCGGGACCTGACCAGAGAGTTTACTTACTCGTTGTATGTGAACATATGCCGTTCGTTGTTCGAGAAGGACAAGCTCCTGTTTTCGCTGCTGCTCTCGGTGAATCTATTGAACAAGCGCGGCGAGATCTCGATGCCTCAATGGATGTTCCTGTTGACCGGCGGCGTGGGCCTCGAGAATCCATTCGCTAATCCCACGCAATGGCTGCCATCGAAATCCTGGGACGAGTTGTGCCGTTTGGACAATGTCCCCGGATTCGAGGTAAGCGGAAAGGAACATAACTGAAATTGGTAACGACGTTTCTAGAAGGAAAATATTACTTACATCTGTGTCGAAAGGTTCTTGTTCTGTTTCTTCAAAGGTCGAGAAGATTGTTAACCTTTTAACGCTTCAGGGACAATGTCAAATTCTCGATTTCTTTAAAGGCTTTGAAATTTGTCTTTCTATGTTACAATTGCTATTATAATTTGTTGATAGTCCAGACCAGTAGTTTATACATTTTTATGGGCCATCTTTGGAAACAATAATTTCTTGTCTTTTAAGATCAATTTGCGACCCATACTTTAGATGCCTTTCGTTTATAATCTTTGATATAGTTGTCTTCAAATCTGGGCACTAGAAGTCATAGTTGTCTTCAATTCTAAGTATTAGAAGAAAGTAATTAGACAATGAAAACAGGGAAGATGAGGGTGGTGGGAACGGTATCAATGTCAGTATCGTGAACCAACGTCGTCCCGGAAGGGTTAAAGTTAATCACTAAAGACTCCGTAGAGCGGCGTGTGTACAAAGTTTCCCCGCGTTTTTGTGTTTAGGGGTTCAAAGATTCCTTCACGAAGAACGTGGACGCGTGGAAGGTCGTCTTTGATCACATGGAGCCTCACGCTTTACATTTCCCCGCTCCTTACGAGCAACTCAACCCTTTCCACAGAATGCTCGTGCTACGATGTGTTCGTCCTGACAAACTCGTGTCAGCCGTGCAGGGATTCGTCGAAGGTGGGGAACTGTTACGCATGTCCAATGAAATACCGGCTAGATACTCCATGTACCTAAGATTTCTCGTTTCATATATTTCTTTTAATGATCATCACACGGTATTCGCGATACAAGACCATCATAGCGTAAGAATAACCCTGACATGATCTTTAGAAATTTGTATTACTATTATTTTTATTATTAGTAATATATAATTTGTATTACTAAAGATATCATAATGACGTTACAGATAACAGCTAAAGAAGTAAAATAAAATTCAAAATAATAAATGAAAAAGTAATAATTTTAACAACACAGATGAGGATACGACTTCTGTTCCCGTGAATTTTTTATCATAAAAGATCTGTATTAATGTCAACCTTTTTTCTTTTCCTGTCGAAATCGACAGAGCAATTAGGTTGTCAGTACGTTGAGCTGCCTCCCTTCGATCTTCTGTCGTCGTTCACGGACTCGTACTCCTGTGTCCCGTTGATATTTGTCCTGACACCTGGCGCCGATCCCATGGCGATTCTGTTGAAATTCGCGGACGACCAGGGCTTCGGCACCAGCCGACTGTTCTCCTTATCTTTGGGTCAAGGGCAGGGCGTGATCGCCGCCCAACTGATCGACGAAGGGGTAAAGAACGGCACCTGGGTAGTTCTGCAGAATTGTCACCTTGCCAAGAGCTTCATGCCCCAATTGGAGAAGGTGGGAAAATGAATTTTTAACCGTCTCATTCCCGGGATCTTTCTAATGCCCTTTCCGAGCCGCTCGACGAGCAACGACGGAAACGAGATCGGAACGACAAAGAAAGTTCCTTCTAAGATTTATAATGTAACTGCTCCGGCCACGGGTATACCTTTCTCGTTCATTTTTCATTTAGATCTGCGAAAGCTTCACCCCGGAAACCGTGCATCCCGATTTTCGGCTGTGGCTGACCAGTTACCCCGTGGATCATTTTCCCGTCAGCATCCTTCAAAACGGCGTCAAAATGACCAACGAGCCGCCGAAAGGACTGCGAGCGAATATAACCAGGTCTTTCCTTCAGGTACTACTAAGAAAATACGATGACCGTTTTTAGACGTTACGAGACTAGTCGATGAGCGTATGGCTCGTACGGTAGGATCCAATATCCGACGACGAATTCTTCGAGACGTCGAAGCAGAAGGAACCGTTCAAGAAGCTGCTGTTCTCCTTGTGCTTCTTCCACGCCATCGTCCAAGAACGCAGAAAGTTCGGCCCGATTGGCTGGAATAATCAATACGAGTTCAACGAGACCGATTTGAGGATCAGCGCGCTGCAATTGAAAATCTTCTTAGATCAGTACGACGACGTGCAGTTCACCGCTTTAAAATACTTGACAGGTAATTCTTCGTTCACGTACTCTTCATTCAATTTCATTCTTCTACGATCGTAGCTGGCTAAACTATATAGACATAGAATATAAAGTGCAGTTACATTTAATTAGCTTTTCAGTTGAATGGTAACTTGCGGAAATTGCTAACGTCTGTATGTCTTATATATATATATGTATATATCATATGTACTTCATTCATGAAATTCCTGAGTTAGCGAATTTACCAGGATATTAGGTTGATCACAAAATTTTGATCACAGAAGTCAGAACACAGTTTTCACGTTGTTCAACGAAACTTTATTACACTACGCGTTGCTCACTTCGTTCGATAATTTTCTACGATCCTCCTGTAGATTTATTTATAATACTTATTTACATATCACGATTTAAAAATTACATTGAAGAGAAAGACGGCCGGACGTCTTGGTCAACTGGGTAGTCGTACTTGAAAGTCTAGCAACGTGCCAAATCCAATATGGCGGCTCGACCGATCGGAGGAGCGCGTCGGTCGATCTAAGTCGTAATCAATCTGTCTTCTAGGCGAATGCAATTACGGTGGACGCGTGACGGACGAATGGGACAGGCGAACTTTGAATACCATCCTCGCGAAATTCTACTCGTTCGAGCTGCTCGCCGAAAAGAAATACTTGTTCGATCCGAGCAGTCTCTACTACGTGCCCGATGCCGTGACACGCGACGATTTTCTCGAGTACGTCAAGTCTTTCCCGATGTCCACGGCTCCCAGCGTGTTCGGCATGAACGAGAACGCAGACATCATCAAGGATCAGCAGGAGACCACGTTGATGTTGTCCTCCGTGCTGGCGACGCAGGTAAAGTCCCATCGGATACGATCGTTCGAAGCTGATCTTGATATCATGCGAATAATTCCATCTTGTTTTCACTGTACAGACGGTACAGGGACTTAACGTAAGTCTTTTCAAACATGATTCACGCGCAACAAGTAGTTTTTTTATGTGACATTTCGTCTGTTTTATGTGTCTGTTCTTAGCTGACTCCGGAAGTGCCTACTAGACAGGTAACAGATGTTATTTCCACAGAATCCTTTCATTTTTATATTTTTACAATTCTTAGATTTATTGCTACGTGAAAACGAAACATTTGGAAATTATACTGAACATTATCACATCAAAAATATTTCATCTCATTGGTCGTGAATCCAGAGAACAAAACTTCACTTTCTTCGGGAGAACAAAAACGCGCTAACGCGTGGTTATCGATCGCAATAAACGAAAGCACACAGTAACGAGTAACCGGGCGTTAAAGTGTATCCGTCGAAAAATTGTGCAGTTAACACGTTGGTCGTTACAAGAATTTTAAGCGATGTAATGATAATCAGGAATAATGATTAACGATCCGATATCACAGTTCCTAGATTATACAACTGTCTACTCACTGATATTACTAAATATCTTCATTCACATCAAATTCTTTATCACAATCGTTTCTAACTAATTTAGAATCTCCGGTCACCGGTGGCCGCAGTGGTGAACGCGTTAACAGGTCGACGGAGGCCAATCTCGTTGTAAACGCCATTGAGGATTCGTCCGGCGAAGTTTCTCGGAACGCGGCCCCGCGTTGCCATTATCTTTCGTTCATTAATTCCGGGACAATTAAGGCGCGCGCGAGTTTCCGCGGGGTCCCGTGTTTCACAAATATAATAGCGCGCCTTAAATGTATTCCGTGTGACGAATCGCGCGGACTACTAACGAGGCACCGTGTTGCTTCGCCATCCTCCAATTAGGACACCGGGGAAACGGAAACAGACACGGGGAGGTCGCCCGACGAGACCGTCTACGTGGTGGCGTCTGATATTCTGTCAAAGTTGCCGGAGGACTTCGATCTCGTCGACGCGCTCGTCAAGTATCCGACGTTATATAATCAAAGCATGAACACGGTGCTGGTACAGGAAATGGGAAGATTCAACAAGCTTCTGCAAACGATCAGGAATAGCCTCATAAATGTTCAGAGGGCGATCAAAGGTAAACGACTAACCCAGAGCGTGCCGCGGCCCGATCAATCTTCTCACGGACCCGTGAACACGTTCCTAAGGTCTGGTGATCATGAACCCGGCCCTCGAGGAGGTCTACACGTCGATAATCACTGGAAAGATACCGAGCGTGTGGATGAGGAACTCCTATCCGTCCTTGAAGCCGTTGGGCAGCTACGTTCAGGACTTCCTGAAGAGGCTCGCCTTTCTTCAGGTGATTCTGGGTTCCGCTTTAAATCGCTGTTAGTTGAAGGCCAATCGACCTTACGAAGACGGAGGATCCGTCTCGAAAAACCGTGAGACGGGTCCATTGTTTTGAGGATCGTAGAAACTGGATCCTCTGAGTGTAATTAGTCGTTTCATACTGTTTTGTATTAGGTACCGGAAAAAGTTCGGTTTTCTTGTTACCGATGAATTGAGGTCCGGTTTCAAGTAGTGTTTCACTGGTTTAACGAACGAAATTGGTATTAGCAGCCAGTTATGTTCGTATCGTTGATACCAAATGGAATAATTTCACTAGAACGTGTTCTGTGTTTGAATTTTGATTTGAGAACTTACACGAATTCTTTCCGGTAACTAATAATATTCGAGTGGGCACGAGTGCAGTTTATATTGTTTTAACTGATGGATTGATGGGATATCTTAGTTTGAAGGATGTTACATTTGATAAATGTTGTATGTTGAAAGTTTAAGTCGATTTTCATTGATGAAATTATAGGAATATATATTATAATTATCTGGTTTTCAAGCTCTGGTTTTCGATGTCTATATGAATGAACACTTAGCTTCATGGGAATAAGACAATGGAGTGTATAATAATCTTTCGTTTTACTGTTAACTGGGTTTCTCAAGTATGACATTGATGACATGACATTATTTATAAGCAAAGCGATTTCTTGTTTTTTCATCGCGTATTTTATCTTTTTTAACTTATTGCTGACTACTGCTTAATTCGATAACAATTTTGTTCGATCGACAATGAGTTCTCACAATTTCTTTTCAGTCATGGTACGATGAAGGACCACCAAGCACTTTCTGGATCTCCGGTTTTTATTTCACCCAGGCATTCCTCACCGGAGCCCGACAAAACTACGCGAGAAAGTACTCGATACCTATAGATCTTCTGATCTACGACTTTCTACCGTTGAAAGACACCAGCTTTCCCGAACCGCCGGCCGACGGTGTCTACGTTTACGGTTTGTTCTTGGACGGAGCCCGGTTTAACACGAAAACGATGAAAATCGACGAGTCGTTGCCGAAAATTCTGTACGACACGGTTCCTCACGTAAGTGTTCATATCTCAGTTTTCATTTAAAATTACAGTAACCTTAATGTCTTCGTCCCACTAATTTCGAATGTAAAATAAGTCTACATAGGTAATTAACATATTTTCATACTGCAATCAATTTTTGAAAAAATATTCCTTTTCCTCGAAATTATTAATATTTGCATTGAATATTGGCAACAGGCTTTTCTATGCCATTTTGGCAATTCTTCTTTGAACGAACACTAGATTCACTGAACCCGTAAAATTGACGGATATTACACATTTTATAAACATTTTTTAGTATTATGTCAATTTCTATTGATGTGATTATATGAATACATACTTTAATTCTCTGTTAGCGAAGCTTTAATTTCCAAGACCTATACGAATGAACACCCATTTTTCTAGGAACAATGCAATGATGAATCAGCATTAGTATTGTTACTAGTATTGCTATTTATTACTGCTAGTATACTAGTATGACTGCTAGTATTACTACTAGTGCACTAACACTAGCAATACTAGTGTAATAGTATTCAATTATATCACATGTAAGAGTTTAATAACATTCATCGAAAAGGCCCATCTGTTTCATCTCGTCGCACCGACGATTTTCTTGCCGACAATCCGCGCGAATTGCACTTCTGAAACGGTTGCGTTCGTATCCAGATCTGGCTGATACCGGCGAAAAGGGATGAAGTGCCGGAGAGGCACACGTACACCTGTCCTGTGTACAAAACTGCGGAGAGGAAGGGCGTTCTGTCGACGACCGGCCACTCGACGAACTTCGTGATCGCCATATGGCTCCCGACGGCGCATCCGCCGGAACACTGGATTTTGCGAGGCGTAGCCATGCTCTGCCAATTGTCCGATTAAACCAATTACTAGCAACCCCACGATTTACACTTATTTCAATCGCGATCCTAATTATTACGACCTCAAATTGTTCGTCGCTCTGAAAAACGTTCGTCTTATTCTTGCATGTCAACGTGAGAACATCCTGAGGACGCTTTGTTCGATCTTCGAGCCACGATAAAACTCGTTTGTATGTCTTTCGCGCGAAGAGATTAGATTACTTTGTATAAATGCGATTTATTTAACGGGATCGTCTTATCAGGCCGTGATAATAAAAGACTCCATTCGAATCTCAATTCCGTGTCGGTTGATCTTCGATTATCAAAGGGTAGATCGACTTGGCCTTAGCAGAGACCGATGTTCATTTCTGAGGGGACTCGTTAAGCTTCCAACGAAGATGGCCCCGCGTTATTAAAACAAGTTCGATTCACTTTTAATCTTCGATTCCCAGGGACATTCAATTAACCCTGGTGCAGAGAGCGGAGGATCCTTTCGGAGGTACGTTCTTCGGATCGTTCGCCCGCCCACCGGACTCAAGCCCACCCTTGAACTTTCATTTTCCCCAACGATTTTCTAATCTCGTCCCTTTAGACGCTGAAATCTCGACAACGGTCGTTTATCTAGAATTTTCCGCTGAACTGTGCGCAATCTTTCAAAGCAACATCAGAGGTGTGCCTGCTACCTTCCCTACAACAGGTGGCGGTGGAACGGGGTCAGAGGTCTCTAAAAATTTCCAAACGATAGTGCCGAAGCGTCGCCGACCCATCTTTATTTCTGTCCAAGAACGTCACCGAGCCGCAGTGTCTGGAATAAACACACGAACTTCCTTCGGAACTATTCGAATAACGGCCCTGCTGTAAGATTCGAACGTTTTCGTTACGAAAATACTATCCACTGCGTAAAACGGTTGAATTCGATTAACTTTAGGCTGCAATGAAATTGGTCTACGATATGAGTATCAGTATTATTAGACAGTGGTAGATAATAATATTACCTACTATTTCTGATATTAATGTTTCTTCCTTGGAAAACATTAGTTTTAGAAATATTAATTCTCAAGATTATGTAACATACGTCTGAACACATGATCATGTGCTTCAGATATTTTTTTTGAGAGTATTACATCTATAATAGCTAAAATGACTCGTCAATTTCAATCTTGAAGATTTAAATAACGATAAATCATCTTTGTTAAATATTCTAGACCAAGTAAATAACATTTTTTATATTTTCCAAGTGTTGGACCGAAGAAAAATTATCCTTAATTTTTGTATAAGTCAATCTGAGGATTAACTGTGTATTTACCTCCAAAGTCAGTCTTAATACCAAAAATTCATCGTGAACGGAATCAAATTAAATTTCAGTAATTGAATAATGCCCCCAGTTCAAAATCTTTCACGAAAATCTCGAGAATATTCCACCCCCGATCTATAGATGAAAATTGAATACCTTCACATTCATCATTCTTTCAAGCATTCTTAATTCCTTCCAACCGATGGTCTCAAGACCTTTTCTTTAACCGTAGTACTACCAAGCAGTCAAATTGACTTCTCGCAACTTTTTTACAAAAACCACAGGCACGCATTTATCAAGATTTCGACTGTCCTATTAATTTCCGTTCGCCTATTACTAAATGAATCTCTTCAAAAATTTTTCAGTGAAGCACTTGTATCATTTTAGCAACTAAGAAGTGATTATTTCAATCTATTTAGTAGTTCCAGCGTTAATTCCTTACTGTGCAGTATCGCGTTAGACTCAAAATTGTGGAAGATCTTAAACAGAAATGAACAAAAAAATAAACATTACAGCCCCTCCTAGATCAAATTAAACAGTATTTTTCTGTTCCGATCAATGTCTTCAAAGCAAACACAGACATAAACGAACACACAATGTTCGTTCGTTTCAAGCGAATTAACGAAAAAGCTGCTTCTAACGGGCAGAGTTCCATAAAAAATCCCAAGGGCAAGAAATTAACCATTCCAAAAACGAATCCTCGAACCGTCTCGAACGCTCCACTCCAGAGCCGTCCTTGCACCGATGATCTTACCCCTAAGCAGCTCAAGAACATTCGGCCAGCTTCAAAATCCCCTATTGCGATCGGAAAGCGGCGACTAGAATCGTCCGCGGTTTATACTCTGTGCCCGCGACGAAAACGGCGGACGAGGTTGGGCGGCGTATTATCCGCCGCAAAGTCGAGATTCCAAACGTAAACGGTTATCGTAAATATTGCAAGCGGGTATCAAGAGCCTCGCGCAGCCAGGTGCAGGAGAGATTTCGAAGGCAGCGTGCGTCCGCGGGAGATAGCACGATAGGCCGGCTAGGACCGGTTGCTGTCGGCTGGGTGTACCAGGGGTGCGCTGGGAGGGAGGCGGAGGAGGTGAAACAGGGTGAAACAGCGGGATGAAAAACAGTGTAGGATGGGGATGGAGCAAGACAGAGATAGATAGAGAAAGAGAGAGAGACAGAGAGAAGTGAGCTCTCGGTATAT